TTTTTTTTTTTTTTTTTTTTTTTTGAGACAGAGTCTCACTCTATCACCCAGACTGGAGTGCAGTGGCACCATCTTGGCTCACTGCAACCTCTGCCTCCGGGATTCTCCTGCCTCAGCCTCTCAAATAATTGGTATTACGGGCACTCACCACCATACCTGGCTAAATTTTGTATTTTTAGTAGAGACGGGGTTTTGCCATGTTGGCTATGTTGGTTTTGAACTCCTGGCCTCCAGTGATCCACCCACCTCAGCCTTCCAAAGTGCCAGGATTACAGGCATAAGACACCATGCCTGGCAAGGCAATAAAAAAATTTTTTAAGTAACATTTACTATTTACAAATGACAAGACTCTCTATATAAGAAATATAAGAAAATTCCATTGAAAAATTTAACCCAATAATATTAAGGTAACAAAACATCTAATTTTCCATATATCAAATATATTTTCAAATGACTGAAAAAGAGGTATTTAAAAAAACCTAAGTAACACAAAAACAAAATACAAAAGAATAAATTTTAAAATTTTACAAGAGGTACATTAAAAAAACTACAGAAAAGAAGCTTTGAATGTATTAAAGAGACTGTATCACACATGCTACACTAGATAAAAATAATACTGAAAAGATATCAATTCTTTCCAACTCTAAGTTATAAAAAAATTCCAATGACCGGTTAATGAGTTGAAGCACTTAATAGACCAAAACCTTAATAAAAAATAAAATATACAATATGGCAGGTCATGATGAATAAAATGAACAAAAACAAATGGGGAAGAAAAAAGTGGATTTGCCATTTTAAAGGGGAAGGCCTCACTGAAATAGTAATTGAGTAAGTAACTGAAGAAGAAGGAAATCACCCAATGGATATGTGAGGAAAAGCATTCCAAGGCATTCCACAGCAGATGCAAAAGTACTAAAGACAAAAGCAGGATTAACACACTCAAAAGTGAGTGAATGCAAAAAGCCCACCACTGCCAAACCAGACTATTCTAGGGGAATGAGTATTTGTTGTTGTTTGAGACAGTCTCCGCTCAGCTACCCAGAGTGCAGTGGTCCAAATACTACTCACTGCAGCTTCAAACTCCTGAGCTCAAGTGATCATCCTGCCTCGGCCTCCAGAGTAACTGGGACTACAAGCACACACCACCATGCCTGCTTTTCTTTTTTTATTTTTAGTAATGACAAGATTTCATTATGTTTTGCAGGCTGGTCTCAAACTCCTGGGCTCAAGTGATCCTCCTAGCCTTGGCCTCCCAAAACCACATTGGGCCCAGAATGAGTATTAAGATCACAGAATGATGTTTGTTTCTGATCACAGAAAACAAATATGGAGGAGTTAGTCAACTAAACAAACCTTCACTCTATGAAATAACAGTATCAAATTAGTGAGGTTAAGAAAACACAGATCTTATACTGAGATCATCAGGAAAAATATAAATTTTTTTTTTATAAAGGATGAAAACGCTGACCAACGATGGCATATAAATTGGTAGTAAGGTGCAAGCGTGCACTTTGGGAGGCCAAGTGGATGGATCACTTGAGCCCAGGAGTTTGAGACCAATCTGGTCAACAGGGTGAAACCTGGACTCTGTTAAAAATACAAAAATTGGCCGGATGTGGTGGCTCACACCTATAATCCCAGCACTTTGGGAGGCCAAGGCAGGCGGATCACTTGAGGTCAGGAGTTCAAGACCAGCCTGACCAACATGGTGAAACCCCACCTCTACTAAAAATACAAAAATTAACCAGGCGTGGTGGCAGGCACCTGTAAACCCAGCTACTCAGGAGGCTCAAGCAGGAGAATCACTTGAACCTGGGAGGCGGAGGAGGCAGTTGGCCAAGACTGCGTCACTGCAATCTGCCAGCCTGGGCAACAAAGTTAAACTCTGTCAAAAAAAACAAAATCAGCAGGGCATGGGGGTGCACACCTGTAATCCCCATTATTCAGGATTACTATGGGAGGCCAAGTGGGTGGATCACTTGATCAAGTTAGGCAGGTGAATCACTTGAATCCAGGAGGCGGAAGTTGCAGTGAGCCGAAATCACACCATTGCACTCCTGCCTGGGCAACAGAGCAAGACTCCATCTCAAAAATAATAAATAAATTCGCAGAGAGATGGAGGTTGCAGTGAGCCAAGAGCATGCCACTGCACTCCAACCTGGGTGGTAAGAGCAAAACTGTCTCAAAAAATATTAAAAATAAAAATAAAATAAAGAATACCAATTCAATATAATTTCTTCCAGAAAACAGAAGAGAACATTTCCAATTCATTTTATAAACCTAATATTACCATAAGAAAAAAAACAAAGACAACACAAAAAATTAAATTACAAACCAATATTCATCATGAACACAGATGCTAAAATCCTTAACAAAACATTAGCAAATAAAATTCAGCAACATATGAAGAAAATTATAAACCATGGTCATTATCCACCATGACCAAGTGAAGGGTTTATTCTGGTATGCAAGGCTGGTTCATTATAGGCCACTGCTGCTCAGCATTTTCATTGTGTCTTATCTTCGTATTTATTTTGAAATCTATAAAATACATCATAGTAACAGCTACAAAAACAAATCACATGATCAAATCAATCAATGCCAAAAAAAATTTCACAAATTCAACACTTGTTTATGATTTTAAAATCCTCAAAAACAAGAACTGAGGAGAGCTTCCTCAATTTGATAAACAGATCTACAAAAAAAAAAAAAAAAAATTGGAGCCAACATTATACCCAGGGGTGAAAGATTGTTTTCCCTTTAATATTGGAGCTGAGGCGAAGTTGCCTACTATCCCCACTCATTCAACACAGTACTAAAAGTTCTACCTAGCAGAATAACAAGAAACAGAAGTAAAAGGAAGAGGTTGAAAAGAAAAAATAAAACTATTTGTAAATGAAATGATTATTTACATAGAAAATCTCAACAAACATACGAAACAACTCCTAGAACTTGTGAGTTCAGCAAGGTCCCAGGATATAAAATCAACATACAAAAATAAATATAATCACACATTTATACCCTAACAAAGAACATGTGAAAAGAAAGTTAAAAACATCGCCATTTATAACACTCCAAAGAAAATTAAAATACATATGTAAAAATGTAACAAACATGTATAGGACTTATATGCTGAAAACTATAAAACATTGAAAAAAAAATCTAGAAAATCTAAATAAATTCTTCATGGATTGGAAAACTCAACATAGTCTAAAGATGTCAACTTTCCCCAAACTGATACAGAGAGGTTTAATATAATTCCTATCCAAATACCAGCAAGACTTTTTGCAGATATAGCTGAGATTATTCTAAAATTTACATGGAAAAGCAAAAGAAATATTAATAGAAGAGCCAAAACAATTTTTAAAAAGAATAGAGGGGCCAGGTGCAGTGGCTCACACCTGTAATTCCAGCACTTTGAGAGGCCAAGGTGGGTGGATCACAAGGTAAGGAGATTGAGACCATCCTGGCAGACATGGTGAGACACTGTCTCTACTAAAAAATACAAAAAATTAGCCAGGTGTGGTAGCACACGCTTGTAGTCCCAGCTACTCAGGAGGCTGAGGCAGGGGAATTGCTTAAACCCAGGCGGCAGAGGTTGCAGTGAATGGAGATCGCGCCATTGCACTCCAACTGAGCGAAAAAAAAACATTAAAAAAAAAAAAAAAAAAAAAAAAAAAAAAGAATAGAGGGAGAGGAATCAATCTATCCCATTTTACAACTTAGGTAAGACTGATAGACTATATGGTATTAGTGGACAGGTAGACACGGAAATCAAGGGAACAGAATATAGAACCCAGAAATAGTCATATACATATATGCCCAAATAATTTTTGATGAAGGTGAAAAATTAATTCAGTGGAAGAAAGAAAGCCTTTCAATATGTGGTGCTGGATCACATGGACACCCATAGACAAAAAAAAAAAAAAAATGAACTTCAACTTAAGTCTCATACCTTATACAAAAATAATTCCAAAAGCATCACAGAGTCAAACGTAAAAACTATAAAACTGGTTTTTTTTTTTAATAAGCAAGAAAATCTTCAGGATCTAAGACTAGGCAGAGTTATTAGATTTGAAACTAAAAACAAGATCCATAAAAGCAAATATGCCATACTCGACTTCACACATTTTAAAACTTGTGCTCTACAAAAGACCCCTTTAAAAGGATAAAAAGACAATCAACAGACAAGACCCCCTTAAAAGGATAAAAAGACAATCACCAGACTCAAAGAAAATATTAACATTTGCAACCACGCATGTGACAAAGGACTAATAATATCCAGAATATACGTAGAACTCTCAAAACCCAACTGGAAAAAAAAAGAATTTAATTAGAAAAAGGACAAAAGACACAAAGAGACATGTTATGGATGGGGATATACAGATGGCAAATAAGCACACGAAAAAATGTTCAGCATCATTAGCCATTGGGGAAATGTAAATAAAAACCTCACTGGGATATCACTAGATACCTACCAGAATGGCTAAAATGAAAAACACTGATAACACCAAATGCTGGCGAGGATGCAGAGAAACTGGATCACTCCATACATTGCTGGTAGGGATGTAAAATGGTACAGCCACTCTGTAAAACAGTTTAGCAAGTTCTTTAAAAACTATACATACAACGACCATACAACCCAGCAACTGCACTCCTGGGCATTTTTTATCTCCGAAAAAGACTGGTGCATAAGTTTACCAAAAAAAACCTATGCACAAATCTTTATAGCACTTTTATTGATAATTATCAAAAAACTGTAAACAACCCAGATGTCCCTCAAGAAACTATAGTGAATTCATATCGTGGAAAACTATTCAGCCATAAAAAGGGATAAGATGTTTAAACATGACAACTTGGATGAATTTCCAGAATTATGCTGAATGAAAAAGCCAGACCCACAAGTTTGCATACTGTGTGATTCTATTTATGAATTTTTGAAAGGACAAAAATCACAGAAATGAAAAAGCTGAGTGTGACCCAGAGAGTGGGGGAACTGGATGAGACAGGAACAAGTGTGACTATAAAATGACAACACTTCAGATGGAGGGAACCTTGTGGTGATAAAATGGTCTGTATCTTGGTTGTGTCAATATCAACATCCTGGTTGTGGTGCTGTACTATGGTCTTTAAATGGAAAAAACTAGAGAAAGAGTATATGGAATGTCTCTGTATTATTTCCTAGAAATGCAAGTGGATTGACAATTATCTTCATTAAAAGTTTGATTTAAAATTACAAGGAGCAAACCTATCAGACTAGATTTAAAATTCTCTTAAATTCAATGGCATTATATTCAAAAGAGATAAAACCGAAATAAAAGGACACAAAAATGTAAGGTGAAGTGAAATTTTATAAATCAGGCAAAACTGACAGAAAAATAATCTAGGAGGCCAGGCGCAGTGGCTCACACCTACAATCCCAGCACTTTGGGATGCCGAGGTGGGCAGATCACCTGAGGTTAGGAGTTCAAGACCAGCCTGGCCAACATGGTGAAGCCCATCTATACTAAAAATACAAAAATTAGCTGGGCATGGTAGCACGTGCCCACGGTCCCAGAAACTTGGAGGGCTGAGTCAGGAAAACTGCTTGAGCCCAAGAGGCAGAGGTTGCAGTGAGCCGAGATCATGCCAGTGCATTCCAGCCTGGGTCACAGAGCGACACTCTGTCTCAAAAAAAAGAAATATAATCTAGGTATGTTAATATTAATAAAAGGTAGTATTTAATAGAAAAAGCAGTGCTGGACACAAAGAGTCATTACATAGAGGAAAAGTTTCAATTCAGCAGGAAAACATAACAAATTTAAACTTTTTCTTTTTTAAGAGATGGGAGTCTCACCATGGTACCCAGGCTGGTCTCAAATTCTTGGGCTCAAGTGATCCTCCCACCTCAACCTTCCAAAATGCTAGGATTACAGTTCTTTCATGTACTAGTAATGTTAAAATATGCTTTAAAAATCAATAGAACTACAAAAACAAATGAAAAACAAAACAAAACAAAATTCCAGTAGGAGATTAACTCTGCTCTCTTAAAAGAAAAGATATGAGATTTGAACAACATAATTAAAAAGCCTACATACTGGACATATATAAAACTGCACCAAAAACTGGGCAATACATATTCTCTTCATGTACAAATAAAAATAAAAATGGACCACATTTTTAATAGTCTAAACATATTTCAAAGAATCAGCATTATACACACCAATCAGCATCACACAACATGGTGCCTAACCAAAATGCAATTACAAATTAATAGCCAAATCAACTAGAGGAACTCTGACATGTTCAGAAATTAAATTTTTAAATAACTCATAAGTTAAAGAATTCGCAGTAGAAAACAGAAAAATACAAGTAAAAATAACAGAAACATTACGTATCAAAACATGTAATGAGGAAGCAATATATAGACATTTTATGATCTTAAATAACTATGTTAAAATGCTGAAAATTAATGACAAGCACCTAAGAAATTAGAAAAAAAGAACAGACATAACTCTAAAGGAAATATAAGAAAAGAAATGAAGAGCAAAAATTAATGAAACAGGGGAAGGATACAGTAAAGAGCATCAACGGTATCAAAAACTTGATTCTCTGAAAAATCTTTAAACATTGGCAAACTTTTAGCCAAAAATTATCAAGAAAAAAGAAGGCATTTTAAAAAAACACAAGGGGGATATTAACTACAAGTACTACAAAATAAAGAGATTAACAACTAAATGCTACAAATTCAAGAATGTAGATGAAATGAACAACTTTCTATAAAAGTACAAACTACCAAAACAGGTTTGAAACTTGAAAATATGAACAGTCCTATAACCAAAGCAATTAAAGCATTCCTCAAAGAAAACAATAGTAATAATTTTATAAGCAAGTTTTACCAAATATTTAAGAAACAGATCTTTCTAATCTTACATAAACTCTTCCAGGAGAGGAAAGTACTATTTTTTAATTATAGGCCAGTTTTACTCATTATGAGACAAAAATCCTAAATTAAGTATGTCCAAACTGAGTCCAACGAAAAAAAGGAACAGATAGATAAGGGTTGAATTTATACTTAGAACATAAATTTTGTTTAAGTATTGGGAAAAAATTAATATAACTCAGCATGTTAACAGATTACAAAAGAGAAATACATGTTTTTCTCAAAAGATGCAGAAAAAGCTTCTGATAAAATTCATTCATGTTTTTTTTTAATTAGCAAACTAAGAAAGGGAACATCCTTAACCTGAAAAAGATTATCCATAATAAACCTACAGCAAGCATCATACTTAACTGTGAAACTTTGAAAGCATTCCCTTTAAAATCAGGAACAAGATCAGGATGCCCCCATCACAGCTTCTATTCAACATTGTACTGGAGATCCTAGCCAGCACATTAAGACAAGAAAAAGAAAGAAAAAAAGCATAAGAATTGGAAAGGAGGAAACAAAGAGGTCATTATTCACAGATAGGACTGTCTGCATAGAAAAATCCAAAAGAAATCTAAAGATAATTTATGACAATTAGGAGTATAGCACGGTTATATAAAGTAAATCTATACTTCCATACACCAGCAAAGTATAATTATAAAAAGTTAATATTTATGATTTGCTATAAAAATAATGTTGCTAGAAGTATATCTAACAAAATATTTGCAATCCTTTAACTTAAAATAACAAATCTTTATTGAAAGACATTGCAAAAAAAAACAAACAAAAAAAAAAACCTTTTTAAAGAAATGGAGATTACAATGATCATGGTTAAGAAAACTTAACAGCAAAATGTAATTCTCTCCAAACTAGTTTACAGATTCAATGCATTTCCCATCAACATATCAACAAGGTGTGTGTGTGTGTGTGTGTGTGTGTTTGTGTGTGTGTGTGTGTGTGTAAAACATGAAAATATTATTCTAAAATTACATGGATGAGCACATAATCAAGTTCCTTGAAAAACTACAAGGCAGGAGAACTTGTGCTACTTCTATGTCCCTCAATGACTGACTAGACTGTTTCAGACCAACCCTCCCTGTGAGAATTTAACAACTGAATATGATAATAAAACATAAACATCTGTGTGAATGCAGGAAGCACTACAAAGGCAGCAAGGACCTGAGACACCAAGACTCTGGGAAGAAGGAGAGCCTACAAAGCTGTCTCTTGATGCCTTCCCTGTAGATATTTGCCAATGAGAAAGGGCAATGGAGAGGTTAAAAGTCCAGAACTCGGAATAGACTCATAAGGCAGGGGAAACAAGAGAAGATATTTGCAAAACATAAAAAGCAAGAGACGGTTTCCAGGATATATAATGAACTCCCACAAATCAGTATGAAAAAGACAGATGTCCCAATATAAAAATGAGTAAAAGACTTGGCAAGCCACTTTACAAAAAAAAACCCAAATGGCCAATAAGCACATTCAAAGGAGCTTGACATCATTACTTATTAGGGAGATGCAAATTAACAGACATTCACCAGAGTGTCTAAAATTAAAAGGGTGGACAAGGATATGAAGCGACTGGAACTCTACCATATCACTAGCAAAAGGGAATGAACAAACTACAACTACAGACAACAACAAGGACGAATCTTGCAAACGAAACAGAAAAAAGCCAGAAACAGAATGCATATACAGAAACAGAAAACAGACAACGCTGAATAACGATAACATGTAGTTATCGTTATTCATTATCCAGTAACAACAACCCATGTTATTCAAGGGTCAATTGTATCCTGTTGACTGGTTTGAACTATGCAGGTCCACTTATAAGCAGATATGTTTTCAACCAAATGCAGATAAAAAATACAGTATTTGCAGGATGTGATATCCACATATACAGAGGGCCAACTTTTCCTATACATGGGTTCTGCAGAGCCAACTTCAGGACTTGAGTACATGTAAATTTTGGTATTGGGAGAGTTGGTCCTAAAACCAAGCCCCCAAGTATACCAAGGAGCAACTGTGTATATACTATACAGGTTCCATTTATATAAAGTTCATAAACAGGCAATATTAATCTGTTAAAGGTAGGATAGTAGGTCGATTTTGGAAGAATGAGGTTATCCACTGGGGAGGGGAATCTCTAGAGTGCTGGTAATATTCTCTTTCTTGACCTACAAGATGATTATTTTGAGGAAATTCACCCAGCTATAATCTCACGATCTGTATACTTTCTATGTATATGCTATATCAAAAGAAGTTTGGTTTTTTCTTATAAAAAAATATTATTTTACACACAGACGGCCTCTCACTATGTTGCCCAGGCTGGTCTTCAACTCCGGATACAAGTGATGCTCCCACCTCGGCCTCCCAAAGTGCTGTGATTACAGCCTTGAGCCACCTTACCAGGCAAGAAGTTTGTTTATGCTAAAAGCATAATCATTTTGTTTCAGTTACTGTAACTCTGTAACAATTTCTATAAAAACAAACAGACTAACAGCCCAGAGTCCAGAACCAAAGCACAGATGTATGATGGCATCCAAACCAGTGCAGAAAAAAATCTGCATGAAAAGGTGATGGGACAATTTATTATTCTTTGAAGAAAAAACATGTATCTTGGTCACTTCACACTACATATGAAATCAACTCCAGGTGGAGTAAAACCTTAAATGAGAAAAGGTGGGGGAAAAAAAAACCCTACATCTTGTACTTTTACAATAATAGAAAATACCTTCAAGAACTCTGTTAAAAAATTTCTTCAACAAGATTCAAAAGCACTATCCATAAACAAAAGCCTGATAAACACAATCACATAAAATTTAAGAACTTCTACTCATCAAAAACACATAAGGCAGGGCTTAGTGGCTCATGCCTGTAATCCCAGCAGTTTGGGAGGGCAGATTACCTGGGGTCAGTAGTTCGAGACCAGCCTGACCAACATGGTGAAACCCTGTCTCGACTAAAAGTGTAAAAATTAGCTGAGCATGGAGGTGGGTGCCTGTAATCACAGCTACTTGGGAGACTGAGGGAGGAGAATAGCTTGAACTTGGAAGGCGGAGGGTGCAGTGAGCCAAAGTCACACCGATGCACTCCAGCCCGGGCAACAGAGCAAGACTCCACCTCAAAAACAAAAATTAAAAAATAGAATTTAAAAGTGAGCCCAACTGAAAGGAGAAATTTGCACCACATACATCCAACTGTTAGAACTATTAAAAATCAGTAAGAAATAATTTTTTTTTAAAATCTAGTACAAACATGCACAAAAGACATGAATAGGAATCTGAAAAGAGGAAAGAATGATTATCATTATAGTAAAAGATGTTCAAACTCACCAGCAAAAGAAAATAAAACTAAAACGTGGTATTTTATACTTACGGGTAAAAACTTTTTTTTGAGACAGGGTCTCACTCTGTTGCCCAGGCTGGAGTATAACAGCATGATCACAGCTCACTGAAGCCTTGACTTCCTGGCTTCAGGTGATCCTCCCACCTCAGCCTGCCAAGTAGCTGGAACTACAGGTGTGTGCCACTATGCTA